TTTTGTATTAGCCATTCTGACTGGTGCGAGGTGACCTATCACTGTGATTTTGATTTGCTTCTCCCTGATGATTAGTGGTACTGAGCACCTTTTCATATGTCTGTTGGTCATCTTTGGATATTTTCTTTGGACAAAGGTTGATTCAGGTCCTCTGCCCACTTTTAATCAGGTTTGTTGTTTTTTTTTTAAATCTTAAGTTTTATGAGTTCTTCATATATTTTGGATATTAGCTCCATATCAGATATATCATTTGCCAATGTCTTCTCCCATTCAGTAGGCTGCACTTTGTTTTGTTGGTTTCCTTGACTATGCAAAAGCTTTGTAGTTTGATGTTGTCTCAACTGTTTATTTGCGCTTTTGTTTCCTTTGCCTGAGGAGACAGATCCAGAAAAATAATGCTAAGGCTGATGTCCAAGAGATCACTGCTAGTATTTTCTTTAATGGTTTCAGGTCTCACATTTAGGTCTTTAATCCATTTTGAGTTTATTTTTGTGTATGGTGTAAGAAAGTGGTCCCGTTTTTTTGGTTTTTTAACTTTTTGTTTTGCTTGTAGCTATCTAGTTTTCCCAGTACCACTTACTGAAAAGACTGTCTTTTCCCCTTTGTATATTATTGCCTTCTTTGTTGTAGATTACTTGATCATATAAGCGTGGGTTTATTTCTGGGCTCTTTATTCTGCTCCATTGATCCAGGTGTCTGTTTTTGTGTGAGTACCATCATACTGTTTTGATTACTACAGCTTTGTAGTATAGTTTGAAATCAGGGACCTCCAGCTTTGTTCTTCTTTCTCAAAATTGCTTTTGCTGTTAGTGGTCGTTCGTAGTTCCATGCAAATTTTAGGGTTATTTATTCTAGTTCTGGTAAGAATTGCATTGAATCTATAGGTTATTTTGGGTAGTACGGACATTTTAATAATAACTTAAAATAAGAATGATATATCTTTCCATTTGTGTCATCTTCAGTCTTTTTCATCAGCATCTTAAAGTTTTCAGAGTATAGGTCTTTCATCATCTTGGTTAGGTTTATGCCTAGTTATTCTGTTCTTTTTGATGTAATTATAAATGGGATTGTGTTCTTGTTTTCGGCCACTTGTTGTATAGAAATGCAACAGATTTCTGTATATTGATTTTGTATCCAGCAACTTTACTAAATTCATTCATTCTATGTGTAGTACTATCTGCAAATAGTGACAGTTTTACCTCTTCCTTACCAATTTGTATGCCTTTTTATTATATTTTCTTGTCTGATTATTGTGGCTAAGACTGTAGGTACTTTGTTGAATAAAAATGGTGACAGTGGACATCCTTTTCTTGTTTCTAATCTTAGAGGAAAAGTTTTTAGCTTATCATCATTGAGTATAATATTAGCTGTGTTTGTCATATATGGCCTTTATTATATGTAGGTATGTTCCCTGTAAACTCCCTCTGTTGAGAGTTTTTATCATCAAGAGTAGACGTTGAATTTTGTCAAATGCTTTTTCTGAACCTATTGCCATAATCATAATTTTTATCCTTCATTTTGTTAATGTGGTATATCATGTGATTGATTTGTGGATATCAAACCATCCTTGCCATCCTCAGAATAAATCCCATCTGATCCTGGAGATCAGAACTGAATTTAGTTTGCTAATATTTTGTTAAAGATTTTTGCATCTATGTTTGTCAGAGATATTGCCTGTCATTTTCTCTTTTTTTGTAGTATCTTTGGTTTTGGTAGCAGGGTAATGGTGGCCTCTTAGAATAAATTCCTTCCTCTTCTGTTTTGCTTTTGGAATAGTTTGAGAAGGATAGGTATTAACTCTATTTTAAATGTTTGGTAGAGGGGCACCTAGGTGGCTCAGTCAGCTAAGTATCCGACTCCTGATTTTGGCTAAGGTCATGATCTCAGGGTCGTGGGATCAAGTTCATTGTTGGGCTTCATGCTCAGTGTGGAGTCTGCTTGTCCCTCTCCCTCTCCCCCTCCCCCCACTTGTTCTTTCTCTCTCTCACAAAGAAATAAAATCTTTAAAAATATGTTTGGTAGAGTTTTTCTGTGAAGCCATCTGGTCCTGGACTTTGTTAGGAGGTTTTCATTACAGATTCAGTTTTGTTACTAGTAATTGGTTTGTTCAGATTTTCTACACCTACTTCAGCCTTGAAAGTTTTTTCTAAGAATTTTTCTAGGTCTTCTAGGTTTGTCTCATTTGCTAGCTTGTAATTTTTAATAGTAGTCTACTATAATCCTTTGTATTTCTTTGGTGTTGGTTATAACTTCTCTTTCATTTCTGATGTTATTTTAGTCTGCTTTCTTTCTTGAGGAGTCTGGTTAAAAGTTTCTCAGTCTCGCCTATCTTTTCAAAGAACCAGGTCTTTGTTTCATTGATCTTAAGTCTCCATTTATTTCCACTCTGATCTTTATTATTTCCTTCCTTCTACTAAATTTTGGCTTTGTTCTTTTCCTAGTTCCTTTAGATTACTAAGGTTAGATCGAGATTTTTTTGTGTTTCTTGAGGTAGGCCTGTATTGCTATAAATTTTCTTTTAAAAACTGCTTTTGCTGCATCTCAAAAGATTTTTTAAGATTTTATTTATTTATTTGAGAGGCAGAAAGAGAGAGAGAGAACACAAGCGGGGTGAGGGGCAGATGGAGAAGCAGACTCCCTGCTGAGCAGGGAGCTTGGTGCAGGACTTGATCCCAGGACCCTGGGATCATGACCTGAGCAGAAGGCAGACGTTTAACTGATTGAGCCACCCAGGTGCCCCATCTCAAAAGATTTTGAACCTCAAAGATTTTGTGTTCCCATTTTAATTTCCTCCAGGTATTTTTTTATTTCCTCTTTGATTTCTTAACTCATCCTCCATATGTTTGTATTTTTTCCAGTTTTTTTTCTTATAGTTTCATACTGTTGTGGTCAGAAAAAATGTTTGATGTGATTTCAGTCTTTTTAAACCTATGGAGACTTGTTTTATGCTTAATATGTGATCTATCCTGTAGAGTATTCCATATGCACTTGAAAAGAATGTGTATTCTGCTGTTCAAGATGGAATGTTCTGTATGTATCTGTTAAATCCATCTGGTCTAATGTGTTGTTCAAAGCCAATGTTTATGAATTTTCCGTCTGGATGACCTATTTTATTACTGTCAGTTTCCCCCTCTATGTCTGTTAATATTTTTTTTTGTCAATATTTTTATATATTTAGGTGCTCTTATGTTGGGTGCATAGATACTTATAATTGTATACCCTCTTGTTGGATTGATCCTTCTTATTTTTTAAAATTTTATTTGAGAGAGCAAGCACAAGCAGGGGTGGGGGCAGAGGGAGAAGCAGACTCCTCACTGAGCAGGGAGCCCGATGCAGGGCTCCATCCCAGGACCCTGAGATCATGACCTAAACTGAAGGCAGATGCTTAACTGACTGAGCCACCCAGGCGCCCTGGATCCTTTTATCATTATGGAAATGTCCTTGTCTCATTACATTCTTTGTTTTAAAGTCTATTTTGTCTGATATAAATACTGCTACCCCAGCTTGTTTTGTTTCCATTTGCATGGAATATCTTTTTCCATCCCCTCAACTTCCAGTCTGTATATGTGTTTGGGGCTGAAGGGAGTCTCTTACAGGCAGCATCTGGACAGGGTTTTTGTTTTTTTAAATCCATTCAGTCACCCTATGTCTTTTGATTGAACATTTAATACTTAAAATAATTATTGAGAGATATGTACCTAATTGCCATTTTGTTCATTGTTTTTTGGTTATTTTTATAGTTCTTCTATGTTCCTTCTTCTCTTGCTCTTTTCCCTGTGACTTTCTTTAGTGTTTTGATTCCTTTCTCTTTATTTTTAATGTATCCATCACAGGTTTTGGGTTTATGATTTCTATAAGGTTCATATATAACATCCTAAGTATATAGCAGTCTATTTTAAGTTGGTGGTTGCTTAAGTTCAAACACATTCTAAAAGCTACACATTTTATGTGTATGATGCTGTATTGTACATCTTTTTGTGAATCCCTTAATTCTTTAGATATTAGTTTCACCTTTTAACCTTTATACTAGCTTTACGATTGATTCTACCTTTACTGTGTATTTGCTTTTGCCAGTAAAATTTTCTTCTTTCATAATTTTCTTCTACTTACAGCCTTTCCTTTTTCACTGAAAGGGTCAACTTTAGCATTTCTTCTAAGGCTGGATCAGTGGTGATGAACTCTTAATTTTTGTTTGGTAAACTATCTCTTCAATTCTGAATGTTAACTGGGTATAGTATTCTTGGTTGTGGTTTTTTTTTCCTTTCTACAGCCACTCCCTTCTGGACTGCAGGTTTCTGCTGAAAAATCAGCTGATAGCCTTATGGGGCTTCCCTTCTAAATAACTAGTGCTTTTCTCTTGATGCTTTTAAGATTCTCTATCTTTGTAATTATTATGTGTCTTGCTGTGGACTTCCCTTGGTTCATCTTGTTTGGGGCTTCTGCTTCCTGTACTTGGATGTTTGTTTCCTTCTCCAGTTTAGGGAAGTTTCTACCCCTCCCTCTCTCTTCTCCTTCTGGGACCCCTGTAATGGGAATGTTAGTATATATGCACATGCCGTGATTCCCTCTAGTGTGTTTTTCATTTCAGTTATTGGTTCTTTTTTGTATTTTCTATTTCTTTGTTGAGGTTCTGAGTTCATCCACTCTTCTCTCAAGCCTGGTGAGCATATTTATGACTATTACTTTGAATTCTTCATCTGGAAATTCTTAATTTTTGAACAAGAGTTCCTGCATTTTCATTTTACATGGGACCCCACAAATTATGGTAGCTGGTCCTGGCTGACACTATTTGTGTACACAGGCCCTATTAGCTTCACACTGCCTATTTTCTCATGTTAAGGGATCCTAAAATTATCTTCCTAGTGCAGTAATGTTGAGGTTCAAATGAAAAACAGAATTAGTTATAGTTGTGGGTATCTTTGCAGCAGTTGACAGAGAAAGCAGTCCATATAGTTCTGCATCTCCTATGGCTTATCTCAGGATCAAATGAAAATAAAAGGTTATTGGTGATCCTCAAAGAGCTTTTGCTTATTTGGGCTGTATCTATTGATATTTACTGTATCAAAAATTGGAACTGAGAAAATGTTAAACACAAAACCATGCAAGCACACATTATGGTAGCCATCAGAGTGAGAATGAACAAGGCAAATGGTATCTTTGCATTATTATGAAAATAGTTTTGACCTTTTAATGGCCTCCTTCCCAACCTGCAGTACTCACATCATACTTTGTTAATGGAATTAGCCTTCTAGGAGCTCTAACAGGATGATAGATATACCTCCGCAGTGAATAATATTAAATATTTGCACAAGAAACTGTTCTTCTGTGAGTGAACGTCTACTCTGTAGTCTCTCATATGAGACTGTAAAGACCGTGCTTATGTTCCAAAGTTCTTCTGTCGGAATGTAAGCTCTGCTTAAAAAATCTGACAGTAATGCTGATAGATGAGTCTCTGAACAGAATGGTCTCGAATACAGGATGCTGTGAATAAAGCTGTTTGCCTTTAAGCTGTGCGTGCCTTCAAATAGAATCAGTTTACTTTTGGGTGTGGAATTTTATCCTTAGATCATTTATCTAGAAACTTTATCCATCTGGCACACAGCTGAGAACCCTGAGAGTAGGTGTTAAGAGATCTCTGTGTAGACCCGATAAATATCAAGTTTGTCCACTCAAAGTTCAACTCTTAAAGTGCAAGCAGCGAGGCTTTCTCTTCCGACCTGCTCACTTCTAGTTTTGATAGAGCTTAAACATTCCTAAAATGCAAGGCACAAGGCTCTCTGGGGAAAGTTCATATTAAGGATACTGTACATATCCTTAATTTGTAGGTCAGTTTGAAGCACAGTACCCATTCTGTGCCAGGCATTGAGCTTCACCCAGTGGAGACTGGGACAAATGAGTTACCTCTGCTGGTCTCAACAAGGTGGGGGTGACAATCCTGTGAACAAGCAGTTGCAACAGGATGTGCTACCCAAGAACACTGGTAAGAATGTGATGTTTGTTAGTGATTTTAAATGATTACCTCTTCAAAGAGAGTGACTTTTAAAGTGTCTGTTGACTGAAAGAGCCCTCAAGGGAAATAGTATCTGCAGGGGCAAGGTGGCCTGCAGGAAGTCAATGGAGGATTGCTTCGACCGGATCGTAAAGGAATTTGAAAAGTGTACTGAGAGAATGGATGACATCAAGAAGACTCATGGAGTCTTCCTTCCAGTGAGATGTGGAGGTGAGGGGGCATACCAAAAGGACTCTGGCACGTTTCTGGTTTGCCCAACTCTGGGGCTGGGGACAGGCGGGGAAGATGATGAGTTTGTTTTTAGACATGCTACATTTGAGGTGTTTGTGGGCCACCAGGAAGGGATATTGACAGGTACAAAAAGTAGGTAGGATGGAAACTGAAAGCTAAGTGGTGTTCAGAACATTGCACTACCACGAGCAGCTGTTTAATATTGCTTGGGTAATGTGGAAAAATAACTTCTACAGAATTGCTTATCTCCTGAAGAGTGGATAAAGGAAGGAACATGTTTCTTCAGTGGCTTTTAGTCCTCACTTACATGATTTGTGCTGATCTAGTTCAGAGTTAATTTGCTCTTTTCTTATGCAGGCCTAAGAACAAGCTACATTTGATTAATTTCAGAGGTCATATATGTAGAATAAAATAAAAATCACTCAATAAGACAATATACCCCCAAACTGAATACAAATGAATCAGATAGTTCTTTTTAAATGGTTTAACAAGTTGCTAGTTTTTTCTTTCCCACATCCCTTACCATGAAATATAAGTTTAGCTGCATGACTGCATTGAGCACAAAATCATAACAACATCAGTCACAGAACTGGGCAGCAGCATTAGAATTCAGTCCCCAGAGGTATTTGGAAAGCTAATACAGATTAGTAGGGGGAAAAGCTATAGAAGCAGCCCTAATGTTATAGTATAACTGCATACCCCAAATTTCCATAGACCGGGACTAGCTGCCCAGTTATTTTGATGCTGGCTTCGCTATTTAAACACTGTTTCTAGGCATCTTAGTAATGACTGTAATGTTTTCCTCTTTCTTTCCCCCCTAAACTCAATCTAATTAAGAGTTGGACCAACATTTTGAAATAGTCATTGTTTCCTTAAAAAGAACATAAAAATCTTTGGAAGCAGCCAATTAATAGGGCCATCTTCAAATATGAGGAACCATGATCTGAGGTACTGACCTACGCTGAAAGTCTGTGCTCACTTCATGTTGCAGCATTCGTTTAGAAAAAATGAAAGACTTAACAATAAGCTTTACTCTCAAATTGATTAATAACTATGCTTCCAGAGTAGCTGTTAATTTAATTAACGTAATGGGTACACACTGAGAATTTGCTGACCAAAGGAGCTACCTTGGAAGTAAAACAGAAATGAGGATAGAGGGGCACTTGAGTGGCTCAGTCAGTTGAGCATCCAACTCTTGGTTTTGGCTCAGGTCATGGTCTCAGAATCCAGCCCCACTTGGGCTCCATGTTCAGCGGGGGGTCTGCTTCTCTCCCGCTGCCCCCACTCTCTAATTTTTTTTCTTGTTTTTAAAGAAATGAGGATCTATAATTGGTGCCACATTAGCTAAAAGCCTGTGAGAGTCTAAACAATCTGGGATTACAAACTGATTTACAGGTCAATCTCAGCCATGAAGTTTGACTCCAAATATTCACATACTATAAGGTTTATCTATCAACCTTTCCCTCTGACTAAAGGGGAAAGTGTCTGGGTTTGAATACCATGTGGATGCCTAGAAGCTCTGACACCAGGAGCAAATTATTTGTTCTCCTTGAGAGTCATATTCTTTAAACTTCCAAAACACATTGTAAACTCTAAATTTATCATTAATAGTAGCTTTCTCACTCCTAATCAACTAAACCATACTTCTCTAATAAGTGTTTGTAGGGATATAGAAATAAATATTTAATTAAGTTATTAACAATTTAAATTTTCTGTTTAATTAGTGTTTTTGAAACATAAATCCTCAGGAAGCTTGCAAGTCTACTTTTGTAGGCTGGTATAGTGCTTTGACCTTCTAGAACATACACTCCAGGAATATCTGAAGTCTGGGAAGGGCCTGACACATTAAAATGCAAACAGATTTACAACAGGCCCTTGTACACACTGGTAACACAGAATGGTCATGATCTTCCCTTTCCACTCCCAAAGCAATTCAACAAGAAAAATGTTTGAATTTTAAAATTAAGAAATACATACTCATCATGAACAATGGTGGGGCCATCCCTTGTTAAGGCCTCTTCCTTGATGACATTGATAAGTTCGAAAGTACTGCTGATGGGGGCATCTGGGTTAGGCCATTTGGGACACTGGAAGTGCCGAACCTCTAGGACGTAGTCATCCTATAACCAATACAACAAGTCATAGCCCATCTGTTATTTCCTGACACCTATAATCTGGGGACTAGAACTTGCTCCTGAGAAAGTATGTATTAGAGATAATTGACAAATGCCAAATACTAGGGAGGACTGACTTCCTGCCCTTAAAAAACGATCAGGTCATGATAGTAGAATCCTATTTTGTTCTGGGGACAATAAAATTTTAAGTGACAATAAATTATAAGAGACTTTATATCCTATTCTATCTTATCTATACATTTAAAGGAAAAAAAGACCAAGGGTTAGATCATCATTTAAGTTATTAATATAAGATAGCTCTTCTTTCTCCCCACCCCATAATAAGTTATTACATATCAAAATGTCATTTACTAAAAAAAAAAAGCCTTACTATTATCATCTGTAACACATTGCAAGGTTTACATTTCTGGAGGCAAAGAGACTGTTGAACTCTAGTATATTGTTTTCATAATTAGGTCAACAGACCTATTTGTATGCATGCTCAGAGGAACTGTTACATTTCATCTACCCAGCTGGAAAAAGCAAATATTTGAAGGAAGGAAAAAGGGAAGTGTACATATTTAAAATTAAGTCATACTCAAATGCCTGAGCCTGTCTCAAGGGTGGCAAGGGACTTTATTATTACTTAAAGACGATGCAGGGCCCAAGTATGTCTGTTGGAGGTTTAAGTTACCTGTGTAGCTTCAAGGATAAAGTCATGGATGATAATTTGTTCTTCATTAGAGAGACACAGTCTGTCTTTGCTGATAAGGGTGACGGTAAAGGCCTCACAGTTCATGGATTCTTCTCGACTTGGCCAGTATACAAACTCATCTTCTGCCTATGGGAACCCCCCCAAAGAAAAAATTCCTCTGCAGTGCTGTCAAACATTTGTTTTTGAATTTTCTTGCAAATTGACGTATAATGTTTGCCATCTCCTGTACCTCCCGAGTCACCATTTCATCATGCCCAGTTCACCAAGTTCAGTGTGATTGTAAAATATACTCGATAATAACCATTTCCTAGCACTTCCCACCTAGGGCACTGTAACAACCAAAAATGCTCCCTCTAGAGGTGATATATTAAAATTAATCGACCTAGGTCCTGGTTGGTTTTTTTTTTTTGGTTTTTAAGTTTTTTTTTTTTTTTTACTGTGATACATTATAGAAAATTTCTCAACTGGAGTTAGTATATTATTTCACAACTGCTTAAGCAACTAAGACATCCTAGTTTTTACTTCCTATGGATTATGTAAACAGTTCTACAGTTGATTAGCATTTTGCCAAGGAATTTCATCAACATTATCTTACTTAGTTTTTACGATATACTAGTGAGGTAAGGGATTTTTATCATCTGTCTTTACAGAGGAGGACATCAAGACTCAGGGAAGTCCTTAAGTTGTCTCAAGTCACACTACTACTAAATGGTAAGCAACAGAACCTGTCTGGGAAGAGGTCATGCATAAATAAGCTTATGTTGGCATGAAGTACAAAGTGCTCTTTCAAAGACCAGTTAATCTATCCATGTTAGGCTTCAAATGGAGATTAACATAGAAAAAGTCTTTCAGCCTTGAATCAGGCAAACTTTAAATGTTCATCTATTTTAGGATTAAAAATAAATATTCAGGCGTGGTATTTGAATTCCATCCCTGAAAACTGTGGAGGCCTAAGAAAAAGTTAAGGGGTGCATCAGTTGGAGATTTTGTGAGAAGTACAATGATATCCTAAGATAAGACCCCTGACCCCCATTGCCATGCCTCTTTTTCTCATCAGTTCAAATGGCAAACTCTGCTTTGCCCAGCATTATCTATACTTCTAGGGGCATTTTCCTGAAAATGCTTAGATACTACTAGTGAAGTCAGAAATAATTCTAATGTTCAAAACAAAGAAGGTTTTGTTTAATCTTACATTGTTGCATCAGAAATGAGCCAACAGTCCAATAAGACTTATCACCCTTTCAAGTTTCAATATAGCTTATTGCCAAGTACATTTTTATTTTTAAAGCTCAGCATAAGGGGAAACAGATTAGCAATTGGGTTTAGTCTATACAAAAGAAGTCTGTAACTGTCAGGGGTTTTAATACATTTTGTCCAAGGAAATGGAAGTAAGACCCTTTTAACAGATACTAAAGATGTAAGGTAATAATGGACAGGGCCTATACATTTAATCAATATGCACAGCTTAAGCATAGGATTTAGGATTGGATGTGATCCTGAATAAATTAATCTGGGCCTTAATTTCCATATCTGAAAAGTGGGAATAACAACATTATGTACCTCTAAGAAATTAACATGAATCGTAAATTACCAAATTGGCCTAATAACTGCCAAAGCGATTTTAATAATGGTGGAAGAAAGGCAAAAAACAACAGAAACGTTCTGAATACAGAGCGCAAACTGATCATCTTCAAAGACTATGAAAAATACATGCTGCTGCTGAATTCAGCAGGAACTCCAGTCTCGTGGCTATTTTGCTTACAAATATATTTGTAGATCAAAGGTCCCTGTATTTTTAACAGTGCTTTCTGAGCTAGGAACCAGTGACTTTGGGCTACTCAAAGCATCATGGTCTTGTCAAGTTATAGCAGTGATAAATAATAAAGCAAACAAAGAGAATCTACATTTTCAGGAAAAATGTGCACTAATAAATCTGACTTTTAACTCCGGAGCTAAGAATGGATTCTAGCCAGGTCTCCCTCAGCCCGAGACACTGAGATGACCTGTTCCGGGGCAGGTCAAGGTCCTCACTGTCTGCAGAGCATGTATGGACTCAGGTGGTCTAGCCTACCCACTACAAATGAGCCTGTGTGATAGATGCTTTTGGTGACCATCCTGTGTTAAGTGACAATAACAAAATAACTGACTCATCCAACAAATGAGCGTTTTAACAACCCTAAGTGCCTCCAATTTCCACATGCCAAACAGAATAGACCCCTATTGCCAGCTAATTTGAAAATTTACACTCCAGTTTTTAGCTTAAGATTCTCAATTTTGTTGCCATTCTATCATACAGAAGCAGTCTTGGTATTCTGAAGCTGGAGCAAAATGCGACAAAGTGAAGAAGTTCCTACTGACTGGGCACACAGTCAAATGCATGTCATCAAGACTAGGGGTTCAATCACATGCTGTTCTTTCTTGATTAAAAAAATTCACTAATCTGATACTCATGGAAGCAACTCCTCATTGTTTTTTGTTTTCATTTTGTGGGCTTACATGTCCTCATAATAACTTCTGACCACCCAACTAATTCTGAAAGTTAAGCTCATCTTGATAGATTTGTTCACCCTTCTTTTACATAATCTCCAGACACAGTAGGGAAGGACTCAAGGGAGGACAGAAAGAGGCTATGGCTCAGTCAAGGTCTTAAAAGCACCTTTAAATTGGAACAAAATAGCCTTTCTGTATTTCCTTCCCTGTAATGGATCTGCTCTGCCTGTGGAATGGGGGAGAAATAATGATACATCATTAGTACTTTTGATATAAAGTTTTTGGGGTAGGGCTAGGAAACCTTTCTCTGATGTGGGGTGGGACAAATAGCATAGCAAAGGATGAAAAGACAGGTCACGCAGGTACAAATCCTGCCTCCAGTTATTTGTGTATATGCCCTTAGGCAAGTTACTTCCCTCAATTTTCTTAGCTATTAAATGAAATGATAGTGGTAGAGAGGATTAAGCAAGTTAATACATGTAAACACAGTTACATACTCAAATGTTAGCTGCTATTTTGTTTTTTTACAAATGACATCTAGCAACTGAGAGGTCAGGTTAAGGTCACATGTTAAAGGAGGTTACTCAAAGGCCCTTTTCCAAAACCTATTCCCCGGCCATGTACAGCATGAGAACATCAAGTAATGGAGCTGACAGGGACAGTAACTGTACCGTAAGAATACAAAAGGAACCCGTTCAGACTTAAAGATGAGAGAAGTCTAGATGCCCTCCCGAGCACACACACACAGTGGAGGCCCGTGGTAAGGTATCAGAATGATTTATGCTTACGGCCTCACAGGCTCATTAATATATAGCAGATGTGCTTTGCTTACCAAGCTCTGGTTATCTGGCAGCATGACAATGATCTGTGCATTATGATCCCAAATCATTCGCCAGAAATCTTTCGTAGTATGTGGCAGAGGATGCTGGGTTATAATAAATTCATTGCTCCTATAATAGCCCTTCAGTTAGGGAGACGGAAAATCAGCAGTTACAAACATTTTATTCTGACGCTGGGGTAGTAAAATCCGTTCATGAAGTAAGACAGCATTGTTTTGACCTCACTTAAACAATTGAAAAAGGCAGTCTGTACATGTGGCTAATTTTTAGATGTACATACTAACACGTGTAGATCATTTTATCTCCACATACAGTTCCCTTCTCGTTACCCCTGCTGTTTTTACTTAACAGCAATTTCAACATTTATTCAAACATGAGATGGGTGAAATTAACAAGAAAAGTCATTCCTTAACACTTTTCTTAAAGGATTTCTGTACCCCTGCTGATTTGGAGCCTTTTGTTAAAGGTCACCAGATACAGAAATCTAATTTTTATATTACACATCGAGAAATTATTCGAAAAATGAAATCAGCCACATAGGTGGTATCTGCTCTTTAGCACCTTTTAGTTTAATTGAATTTATTTATAATTAACTGTTGAATCTCACCATGATATAAGAAGCATTAATGTAATCCGTTCCTTTCATTCCAGGCAATGGTGCAAGGCCCACTCGGGCACGCTCGGCTGTAGTATGGAAAAAACACAAAAACCAAAAAAACCACCACATTTGCCTTATTACACACACAGAACCAATAACGCTTTCTGAGATTCACTTGGTGAGTAATCTCTTTCCCTGGCTCCCCTTTCATTTTAAAACTCACCTATATTTTTGACTAAGCTAAAGGGTCAGCTAAGGCAGAATGTAAATGGAATTTTGCTGCACATTCCCAGAAGGGTAAAGGCATTACAGGAATAAAATCTTACTGTGAGAGAGGTTTTCACAGCAGATCACAAAGAGAACACTCTGTGCAGAGATGACAGGATTTCAGATAATTTTTGGCCCTGGTTTGATATTCTTACAATTATACCAACACACTATACTTTTGCTCTTTTGCCATTCCCTTCCCATTTTTCTCCCCGTAACATGCTTAGAAAACAGTGGCCTTGGTCAGTAGAGTCTCAGAATCTCTCCAGTGATCGCCCATGCTGTATCAACAGCTCACAGTTTCCTCCGCTAGGTCCCGAGTTATTTATACCAAGGTCCCCATCCACCCACAGTACCCTGATCTCAATAGCCAGAAGAATGTAATAATGCATTCCAGTTGTACAGATGAATCAGAGACTCGCGTTTTTCTAGGAGTATTAATGCCATAGTGATAATGGCTTTACTTTTTTTTTTTTTTTAAGTTAAAATGTAAAAGTACCCTAAATCTTGAATTGTGAGGTGAACGGAAGCTAGACTTCATGTCACACTGATGCAGCAATTCGCTGGCATGGACAGCCACCCCTCCTAGTTTGATCAAACTGCCTTAATTTTCCTGGCATAGCTAGTCCCCTTGGTAGTTGTGGCCTCTCCACATAATACATAAAATTCGGTGAAAAAATACTAACACACTCAACCAAGTCAAACTGATTTTAAGAGCTTACATGGCACGACGGAAGAGTTTCGGTTCTTTTCTTTGTTACACTCTTTCTGAGCACTAAAGCACTCCACATACTTGGCATTACATTGTGTAACCAGCTGAAAGAAAAGCAACGTTGTAGTTTTCATTAACTAACCTGACTGTGATAATCATTTTGTAACATATGCAAGCATCAAGTCATTACTTTCTACACCTTAAATTTATACAATGTTATTTATCAGTTACATCTCAGTCAAGCTGGGAAACAACAAAGTTATAATTGATAGCATTTGCTTGATAATCTGGCAAAAGGCGGCCAATCAGTAATTGGATTACTGAGGAGCAAAAACATTTTTCTATCCTAAAGAATATATTTTTGTGTTTTAGTAGTGGTTACTTCTGTCTCCTTACCGTGGTTAGGGGTAAGCTTGTCTTATTTCTACTATCAGGCCCTAGGCTTCTGATAACAGGTTCAGTGTGGGCAGTAAATACTTAATGAGTTCATCTGGATTTTTCTGTTGAAAATGTCACTGCTTTTTGTAATTTGTCTTCTGTAATTTCTCACAGGCACATGAGATTTGGGGGGGGGGTCTACACTAGAAAAGACTGCTTTATAGTCATAGGAGCTAATTATGTTTCTTGAACATAACTTACTAGGTTCTCAGTACGTTTCTGTTGAACTAAACTAACATTGTTCTAAGGCCACTGTAAGTAGCCCAGTAGTTTGGTTATTCTTCCTGTTCTTGTATAGCTTGGTTAAACACTGTGTCAATCCTCGGGTTTGTTTTTTTAGCTTTCGTACTACTGTCCAGGGCCTTGGGTGTAGTTTTCAAGTCTCTGATTCTTGTTTTTTTCCTTCTACTTGTTAGTGCCTACCAAAGAACCAATTACCTGGTTTCCAAGGGAATGAAGAGATTTCTTTTAAAAAATTCATCAAAATGTGTGGAAACAAATATTGCAGAAACAGAAAAGGCAGAATTTAAGAAATGTTGATAATTTTTTTTTTAAGAATTAATTTTAAACATTTAAAATGAGATATGTCCTCATTATTAATTACCTCAAATGGTTTTTCAAATGGCTAGGATGTTTTAAAAGGAGAGCTAGAAATTTAAGATTGTTATGGAATGAAAATTAATTTAGCTCGTTACTTTGCTTGGCAGTCTTATTGATTCAAATGATGGTTTCACAAAGTTTTACCATGAAAAGTACAATTGTACAGATATACCTCATTCTTTCCATCTTGATACAAAATGAGAAATTACATATGGAATAATGCAAAAAAAAATTGAAAAGACTAATGAGACACCAATAAATAAGAAAGTACTTAATAATTGGAGGGACAGCACTTGAAGGTTAGAATAAAGGACTGAGCTTTTAATGATCTTAATTATTTTACTGTCCTTATGGTCTTTTTTTTTTTTTTTTTAACCTTTCCCTCAGTTAATTCCATATAAACCTTAACTGCCTTTAAACTTCTTCATGCCCTTATCCAAGCAAAAGAAGAATCCTTTGGGAAAAGTTAACTTCTTTCTGGTATTCCTTAGTACCTCTTTTAGTTTCTAAACTATCTGATAGTCTTTCAGATAGCTTATTTGTTGACCTACTGTCCCAAAAATAAATCATTCTTAAGGGTAAGATAAGTTAGTTCAGAAGAAGTACAGCATTATTTTTTGGACTAGAGTGACAGACTCCAACTTACAGTCACTGTGATGTTAGGATCCCAACAGTTCATACACAGGTCGAAACTTTATTTGCTTCCCGTTACATTTGAAGAATACAAATGGTAATCCCTTTCAGGGATTTGGTAATTCATGCCAAAAAGATATGACCCCCAAACGTAAGCCATTTCTGTATTTCTTGCTTTTTTACAAAACCCAGACGTTTAATCAGAGCACTACCTTGAATTGTTTCTCCAGCCGTGTCTTTCCTCCTACTCCTGGTATGAGGATGCTGTTAACATAGCTATGCAGCTGATTAGAAGATACTTCAGTCTCCTTTCCTAGAATGGCTTCCAACAAGGCATCATGGATGAAAATGTACTGCTCCTAAAAGGGACAGAACGAGGAGAGCTGGTAAGGGGTAGCCACTTCTATCCAAGTCATGAAGCTGACCTCTGATCAACTCTTCTCACAGGGACTTCCCTGGGAGCTCCTTCAAGCATTTACAGCCAGGTGCCTTGCTCCCATACTCACTGCTTTATCCCTCATAACTTATTTTAGGGTCAGGACTGTGTTTTCCATACCATGCCCCAAGCAGTAGGTTCAGTGCAGCAAGCCGTGGAGAAATGTGTTTAACGAAGGTCTTTAGAAACCCTTCAACTTTTCAGGCCCGACAACAACTGTTTAACTCCCCATGGCCTCAAACACAGCACTAGATACAGCTGTATCTTGCTTCCTAAGTGTTGGTGTCGTGACTGAGCAATCACACGTAAGATGCACACAGACATGGGAAACTGGGAGTCAAAGAACAGTCTCATGGTCAGCATAGCTTCCAGTACAAACCTGTACGTTCCTTCGGACCCTACAAGAATGAATTTTCTCCTCAGTACCATTCAACTTTCATTTAAAGCACGTGCTAGAATCTCTTGCGAGCAACTGCAGCCGCTCCTCACCTCAGTCTGGACGAGGTAGTTACGCTGTGTCCTGATATGCTTCAGGAATCCTAGGACGTTAACTGTGCTTTTGTCTTTTATCTGTTGCAGCATGCTGTCTATTACAATGTAGGTGCCGGTCCTGCCCACACCAGCACTGGAAGAAAGGAAGACACTCAGCCGCCACCTTTTGCTCTTTCGTGTCATGCATTAACTGTAGACTGGAAAAATTACCGTCTAAATAGCGAACGAGCTTAAAAATAACCTTGTTGTTTAGATAACCTAGTAGAGAGTTGACACAGGTCATTCATTGTGGACAGCATCCAAAAACTTCATTAGGACATTTCCCAGGAGAGCAAAGACAGCCTTTCATAAATACCACGGGAGCTGGGGTAAAATGTTGCGTATGTATTTGCTTTCTCAGTCTCGCTTGCTGCTCAAGCCAAGGATGGAAGTCAGTGATGCAAGGGATGGAGAGCAGCCCTTCTTGGCAGAGGCATCCCCCCACCAGAACCCCGTGTGCCGAGACCCCAGGTAGGAAGTTTGTGTCCTTGATGCCGAAGTCTGTGCCTGGTTCTCCAACTCTCTATGATTCTGGAAGCACCCATTATCCTTTCGGTAAGTCCCCTTTCTGCACACCTCCCTAGTCTGTTCGCTATTAGAAAGCTCTTACCTAGGGCGCCTGGGTGGCTCAGTTAGTTGGGCAACTGCCTTCGGCTGAGGTCATGATCCTGGAGTCCCTGGATCGAGTCCCGCATCGGGCTCCCTGCTCAGCAGGGAGCCTGCTTCTCCCTCTGACCCTCCCCCCTCTCATGTGCTCTCTGTCTCTCTCATTCTCTCTGTCTCAAATAAATAAATAAAATCTTTAAAAAAAAAAAAAAGAAAGCTCTTACCTAAAGGGGTGCCTTCCTTTAGTCAGCCCCGTATGGAATCAGAATGGCACGCCTGCAAAATCTGGCCTCTTTTATTCACACTTCCTCATTGTTAAACAAACCAACACAAGGGCGCCTGGGTGGCTCAGTTGGTTGAGCGACTGCCTTCGGCTCAGGTCATGATCCTGGAGTCCCCGGATCGAGTCCCACATCGGGCTCCCTGCTCGGCAGGGAGTCTGCTTCTCCCTCTGACCCTCCCCCCTCTCATGTGCTCTCTCTCTCTCATTCTCTCTCTCAAATAAATAAATAAAAAAATCTTTAAAAAAAAAACAAAACAAACCAACACAAAACTAAGAAACAACAGTCAGGAAGATGGGCGTCTGCAGTACCCCCAGCAGGTTCCCCACCTCACAGGACTGTTCCATTGATACCCCAGCTCTTTGACAGACTCTCATATCTATTTTAGCGATTCCTCAATGGGTTAGCAAGAGAATGTACTTTTCATGAGGCTTTAAACAGGGGCTGCGCTCCCAACATCTGCCAAGGACTTGCTTTGTGATCACATGTTATGAGCAACAGCCCAGAAGAAATGCTTAGAAAATGCCACGCAGCTCTGCAACATAACTCACAGAAGAGGCAGCATCTATTTGAATATCAAAGTTAAAAAAAAAAAAGCCAAGAATGCAATTACAAATGAAAGATAATAAAAGTATTCTTAAACCACCTATGAAAGTTGTTAAAGGTAGTTAAGGGAAAAAAGGCTTTCCCAGTGCTCTGAAAAAGGTCTTTCTTAGAGCATGTATCAATTAAAAAATTAAAGATCTTTTCACTCCTACAATGAATTTTATTATTTAGAGGAACCCTACAGAAGAGCCATATACAAAACCTCAACCTCTCCAGTGTAGAAAGCCCTGGACTTGTGTTTAAGGTCAGATTTCCATGTAATAGGAGCAGCTTCAAGATTCCCTGTAAACAATGGGGATTTTATTAATAGATGTTATTAAAAACTGGAGATTCATTCTCTAAGAGCAGATTTTGTTTTAGCCTCAGAATAGCTGATGATTTCAGAATGTTTTGAGAATGCAGTGATTTTATAGAACCCTAACAGGCTGTACTGGTCCCAGTTTTCAGTGGAAGACTCTGCTTCTAAATCAAACAAAGCAGGGCCCCAGCGGTCCACATCCGCCCACTCTGCCCACTTCAGATGTTGAATCCCAGGCACAAGAAGGACAAAGATGGCCCCACCTGCAGTGCACCAACACAGGGCCCATTTCAGGTGTCCGGGCTGCCGAGGATCTCCTCACGAAGGTCAGGACCGGGAGGGCATACTCAGGAACTCCCATGTCAGGCCACTGAGTGTAGTGATACTGGATCACGACCCGTTCATTCTGACGACCCTTGGGATTTCCCTTCTGACCCTAGCAGAAAGGTGAAAAGAGAGGTCTTTAAGCAGACAGTGGGCATTTTGGATTTAAAAAAAAAACAAAACCAAAAACAAACCAAAAAAACATAAGGATGTACGAAACATGACCTTCCATTTCATGTGCCCTAACTACTGCTCTTGAGCTAGGTACTTTCCCCTTGGCGGCCGTCTCATTCATGCTCTGTAATTTCTACACAAGCCTCCATGTTCTGACTTCCTGCCCCGACTCCAGAAGGCCGTGGTCCCTTTGCTCTCATCTGACTGTGGGCCATGACTCCCATCCTTTCTCTGCTGTCTGGGTTGGACCTTCAGGAGCTGGAGTGCTGGTTGCTGCTATACTCCAGGAAGTGATTCTCAGTCTCCAACATCAATAATAAATTTATCTGTCACTTTCATGAATGAATTTTCCAGAGTAGTTTTCCTTTAAGTGGCTGAGCTTTTTATATTTTAACCACTTTGGATGAAAAATTTCCCCAAACAGGTAACTTGCTGTCGTAAGTTTTTCTTATAACCAATAAACTTATAAATGTCTGAATTTTTTTTTTTTTTTTTTGATGACTCAAGGTCATTAATCAGCTTGAGCATTTAAGGTGTTTGACCCTGGGCTCCAGAAGCCTTATGGCTTTGATTTCTGAAATCTTCCTTTAACTCATTTTCCTATTTCTTCCTCTTTTTCAGTTACTACTTTTTCCTCTTGCACAAAACACCTAAAGTTCCTATTTGACTTCTGTCCTCCAACTTGAGTGGTTTGTAAAATAATAAGTGGGCCATGTTTAAATACCTGAAGGGTTTCCATGAGCAATGGGCTTTGTAAACATAAGCTGATTATTGGTTAGTTTAAGCCAGCTAACAGCTCTATTAGAACACAGATAAATATAGTGCTACTTGACTTTTATATACTTCTGCCATTCTGGGAAAAAAACTAAACATAGAAAAAGACTGTAAACCTTGGATCACAGATGGGTTTTGGAGCCAATGAAATTGTATATAAAAATTGGACTAAATGTGAATTCTTCTGGGGCAGGGGGGCTGTAGTTTGATCACATTCCCAAAGATGGCCAAGACTTAGGGGGGAAAAAAAAAATTACATCCATTGCTACAAACAACTGCCATTCCTAAGTCTCTCTAGAGCAATTACTTTACATTTTCTTTTTTTTTTTTTT